TGGGGCGCGAGTGGGTTGGTGGATAAGTGGCGTGAGAGAGTAGAGTAAGCGACGGAAGGGAGCGAGTGCGTGAGGGAGGGTGGGAGGGAGGCGTGTGTGTTCATGCATGGATGGGGTAGCGTGGTGCGGGCGGCACGTGCGCTGGCAGGCACTAAGACATGGGCACACAGCAGGGGCAGTGCAGCAGCAGCTGGCGAGGAGCCGGGCATGGGGCTGCGGGTTAATGGGCTGGCCACCCGGCTCCAGCCAGACCAAGCCGAGCCACCAGGCAGCCGGGCAGGGGCGGCCAGGCGGTGGCAGTGGGCGGTCAGGCAAAAACGGGAGCTAGACCAGGCCAGGGGGTGCCACTCACACAGCATCATGTAATGCTCCGCGGTGAAGGCCTGCAGGGAGGGGAGCGGGCAGCGGGGCCGCATGACTCAACACAAGCAGGAGCGAGCCGCAGCCGGCAGCGACAGCACGCCCAGCAGGCAGCCACCCGCGCTTGTCGCAGGTCAGCGCCGTCTGCTGCAGGCGTGCAGTGCTTGGCTGTGCACCACGGGCAGGCTTGCAGCGCATGTGTTTTTTTCATTCTGCGGCTTGAAGATAAATTCCACCACCGCCACACAGCTGCCGCCGCCTCACCTCCGGCTTGTCTCCCTCCAGGATGTGCTTCAGCTTGGTGATGCCATCCTGCAAAGCAGGCGGGCGCGGCAGCAGGGTTTCCTGGGCCAATGGTGCACGGCGGCAGAGGGTGAACGCAACAAGTGCTGGCAAACGCCTGATGGCGGCGGACCGGGCGGGCAGCCAAGTGCGCCGTGTGCCGGTCGTTTAGCTGGTGGGGGCTTGGCAGGCAGGCCCAACACCGCGTGCAAGTACCTCCATGTATTGCCAGCCAGCCTCCAGCTCGATTGGCCGCCGGTCGGCGTGGCCTTGTAACGCCATGGCGGCGCTTGGCTGCTCTTTTGCTGCTGCGGCAGGGAGCGCAGGCAGCGTCAGCAGTGGAACAATTTTCAGCACCAGTTTTGCTGAGCAAGGGTGCTGCACGCGGCCGAGGGCCCCTGCGGACTGGCGGCGCGGTGGCGGCAGGCACAACGGCGTGAGCTGAGGCAGGGCTTCGCGCGCCCGCCCAATCTGGCGCTGCCCCACGGCCATCGGCGCTCCCAGCCAGCGATCGGGGGCTACCAGCGCGGCCTTGGCCGGCCGAATGTGCGAGTTTCAACATGGCATGGCCCACCGCCCTCCCCTGTCGTCTCCCGGGCCCTGCCCACCTGCTGCTGCTCTGCTTTGGGCTGTCCTGGGCGCCAGCTTGCCCGGCTGCCGGCTACCAGGGCACAGGGCCGCCTAGAAGTGGCCTACTGAGGGCCAAAGCGCGCACTGCTCTCCGATCAGCGCGGCCAAGCAGCTACGAGCACTTGGCAGGCGTCCAGCAACCTCCCCTCCCGCCAGGAGCAGGCGATCAGAGGGATGTCCGAGTGGCAAGGGACAGAGGTCTGGGCGAGTTCAGTAGACTGCAATGCAGCACAGCTCAGCAGACGGCGATCTGCGACCTACACGTATGGCACAGTTTTTGACACGTCGGATTGTCACACTGAATTGCAGAACATTTCCGCCTTGGAGTGGCCTTGCGGCACCATTTCCAGTGTATCATGATTATTGGGAGCGGTGGTGGATAGCCGGGGCGCGGTCCACCGTCGGTGCCGAGAATGCCGAGTGTGTGCAACGGCAGCCCCTCCGCAGGTGGGCGGCCAGGGACCCGACTCACGAGACGGAATGATTTCGGGTAACAGATGCAGGCGGGTGGGGCATCGGCCCACCTTTCTCCCGCCACGCCGCCGCACTGGCCCAACTCCTACTCCCCGCCTGTGCCTGCGCCAGAGCCCCTTGTGAGCACGCTGCGCACCGTCTCGCTGCCCAAGGATGAGTTCGACAAGCAGATTGGCGGCGGTCTGTGGCGCATCAGCATCACTGCCCGCGCGGGAGGCGGCGGCGTGGCAGGCGGCAGCGGCGGCGGGAGGGCCGGCAGCCCCAACTGCGCCGAACCGCTGTGCCCCACGACGCCCAGCGGCAGGCAGTCAGAAGCCCCGGGCGGCCTGCTTGGACCCCAGTAAGCCTCTCCTCACAGTTCCGATGGCCATTTTACAACAACCACTCCTTGCGCGGATGCCTGCACACCGCCGTGCCAGGAGTGCCAACTGCACCCGCCGCCGCCACCCACCCGCCGCTGCCGTGCAGGCGCGCCGACCCTCCGCGCTCCATCCTGGGCCTGCCCATCATCAGCTGCCGCAGCCCGCGCTACGCCCTGTGGGCACTGATGGTACTGCTGCTGGACCTCACCTACTCCGCTTTCCTCCTGCCGCTCTCCATCAGCTTCCAGGCAAGCAGCTGCTGGAGGCGGCCCCAGGGCCCAGCCTTCCCAAGCCGCATTGCACCCCCCACCCCCCCGCCGCTGGCTCAGGCTGCCGCCTGAGCCCACCGCTGCGCCCCGGCTGCCCATGCTGCGGAGGCCGCCACCGGACTGGCCCCCACCAGCGCAGCCTTCCTGGCCGCTGCCCCGAGCCCACGCGTGCCATGCCCACTTGCCTTCTGCCTCCCTGACGCTGCATTCATGCCTCCCCTGCCTCCCCTGCCCCCCCTGCCTCCCACCCCGCCCCACAGGTGAACGACCTGGAGTGGACTTGGGCCTGCTTCGCCGACCTGGCCGCTGGCTGCGTCTTCGCCGCCGAGCTGCTCCTCGGCTTCCACGTCACCTACCTGGCCTCCAACGGCGGCCAGCAGCGCGAGGTGCGCGGCGGGCGGGCCGTGGCCCGCTACTACGTCCGCCACGGCTCCTTCTGGCAGGACGCGCTCAGCACCGCCATCTGGGTGACGCAGGTGCGCCTGTGCTGGGCCGGGCTGGGCTGGGCTGGGCGCCCAGTGCGCCTGTGCTGCTTGCTGGCAGGAAGCCCGAGCGGACCCGCTGCCAGCCTCCGCATCCAGCTGTGCTCGGCCGCCTGCCCCAGGCCGCGGCTGCGCCCCTGACCCCTCCCCCGCGCAGATCGTGCTGCTGGTTGTGCACCAGGCGGGCGGCGTGGTGATGGCGGAGAGCAGCAGCGCCTTCCAGGTGCCAAGCGCTGGGCGCCCTGCGCTTGGTGCCCCTGTGCCGCACCGCAGCACTGCGGCCGGACGTGGCCGCCACCTCTGGCGCCCGTGCACCGCCTGTGCACCGCGGTCCCCTTCCCACCGCCATGCCACCGCCTGTCCCTGTCACCTGATTGGGGACGGTCCCCAACAGCGGGCAGCACCCGCCCCTGGCCTGCATGCAGGTGGTGCGCATCATCCGCATGATCCGCTTCGGCTCCGTGCTGCGCCAGCTGTGCATCCTGGCCATCGGCTCCGGCTCCTCCTCCCTCATCCCCGGCCTGCGCATCGGCCCCCGCCTGGCCCACTCCCTCAACATCACCTACTCCTCCCTCGTGGTCCTCCACTTCGTGGCCTGTCTCTGGTGCGCATGTGCGCCCCGGTACCCAACGCGGCCCAGCAGCCCGCCAGCGGCAACGCTCTCGGGCATGTGCGGAGCACGGGGCGTGGTGGCGGTACCGTGCTGGGCAGGTGCCGACGCGCCCTGGTGGACCGGTGAGCCCACACATCTCGTTGACCGGTACTGCCTGCGCACCTGCGCGGCGGCTGCCTGGAAGCAGGAACTTCCTGGCCATCAAGCAAGGCTTCGAAGGCACCTGGATGAACCCCATAGCCTCCCTCTGCTACCGCTACGCGCCCGACGGAGCCGGCCCGCTGACTGCGGCGGAGCTGGCGGCGGTGCCGGCGGCGGAGCGGTACCTGATCGGCGTATGTAAGTGCGCTGCGCTGCACTGCTGGCCGCTCGGCTGGCTGTGCGACCGGG